GGTGTTTTGCAGATTCTACATTATTCTTTAGCGTTGCATAGTATTCCATTGTGTGAATGTACCAAAGTTTGGTTATCCATTCCTCATTTGTTGGACATCTCGGTTATTTCCAAGTTTTGGCTATTGTAATAACTAGCACTAAATCTTAATCAGGGCTTTGAACTGGTTTGGTCAGGTTCAAACCCTGCTGGGAATTGCTTTTCCATCCCAGATATACTGAATCAGAAACTACTTTTCAACAAGATCCCCAGGGAATCTTGTTAAAATCCATTGTTAGATGGGGGAAGGGGGTGTTCAGATATTTTGCACTACAGATAGAAAGAAGATGGTGTTGGGTTTAGTGGGTGTTTTGGAGATAGAATGTAGCAGTCTTTGGTGATGAGCTGACTTTTCAGAGGTGAGGGAAAGGAGCCAGAGATTACTTGGAAGCTTGGGCTGCTAACTTTTAGGCCATTTACCAGGTAAGTGAGTATAAAACAAAAAGCAGTTCATAGCTTCATTTTTAACACAATTCGTAGGAATAACCTATTGGCCCCTACTCTATTTACAGTGCTTAACAGCAAAATTATATTTTAACTTTCATACGATTTGTATTTCTTTTCACAGTTGATTCTGTCATTAAAACAAGACTGTGATTATTTTTAAGTTAATTTTTAGGGATGTTTGTGTAATTTTAGTCCTACAGCCTTTCTGATCTTGCAAGTTGAATGTCTTTTGAAAATTGAATGCCACTTTCTACTAGTGTTTTCTGAGTGTCAGGCACTGAGTTAGTACAAGAGTGACAAAGAAGAGACCTCCTCCACATTAGCAAGCTTCAGGATGGCTCATACTATGGAACCACTGGCAATGATCTTAAAAGAAGTCTTAGTAATTGAATTTTGGGGTGTTTGGGGAGCTTATTTTTTGTTTCATAAAATGAACACAAGTCAAGATTTCAGACAAAAAATGAACAAAAAATGTCTCTTTGTCTTGGAAGTTTATTACAAATCCATTAAATAATCTGGAATGTATGGAGTCAGAGTGCAAGATAAAGAAAAATGGTTAAATAGCAAAAATTAAGAATTTGGCCACTTACCAAGATTCACCCTTAAAAGAAATATCAGAGTATCAGGCAAAGTCAGAATCCCAAAGCTTATTACATGGATTGACTTGGGCATATTTAAAGCAAAATGCAAATTCTAACTAAAGTGAAAGGTGTCATTCTTTGAACTAACTGAAGTAATTGTTTGAAGGAATGTTATGAGGAGGTCAGTGGCACAATGGTTAAAGCATTTGGCTGGAACCCAAAAGGTCGGTGGTTTGAACCTGCCAGCTACTTTGTGGGAGAAAGATGAGGCAGTTCTGCTCTGTCCTATCAGGTTACTATGAGTCAGAATCAACTCAGTGGCAGGGGGGGATTGTTTTTTTATATTATAATTATAATATAAATGAAGTTTTGGCCATACTACTCAAAATAAAGTTGTTCTTTTAAAAAGAAATTAAAATTATTGTGATGTAATGAATTATTCTTCTAGCCATAATCTTTGTGACCTCCACCAGATGATTGGGTGGGATTGTGCAAATGTTGGAGCTCTGGTGGCGTAGTGCCTAAGGCATTTGACTGCTAACCAGAAGGCCAGTGGTTCAGACCCACCAGATGCTCCTCAGAAAGAAGATTGGGCAATCTACTCCTGTAGAGATAGCGCCTTGGAAACCCAAGGAGGGGTAGCAATGAATCTGACTTGCCCTCACCCTCACAGGCAATGAGTTTGTTTGGTTTTTTGGATGCAAATGTGACCCACCAAGGGGATTGGATAGCTTGTTAGTAATGTAAATAAGGTACATAGCAGCACCCTTGTGTAGGTGGGACTATGCAAATAAAGTGTATGGAACCCTAATGAGATTGGTTAGTTTTGCCATCCTGCTGGGCTTAAAATGAGCCATACAAAGATAGAAAGGGAGATCTTACTACCTTCAAGAAAGAAAAGCCAAGAGTGAGTAGAATCCATCCTTTCAACCTGAGATGCCTGCACTGAACTTCTTTGACACAAGAGACAAAGCTGTAACACTTTGATGAGATGGCAATAGATGGCACCAAGAGACTGGCACAAGATAATGATGGACTTCCTGGCCCACCGAGCAAGAAAGATGAGGGCCTTTGGACAGGAGGCTTCCTGGTAGAGTGGGTGCCTCTCTGGGTACCTATCAGCAAAGCTATAAAAGCTTTGTACCACTTGCCCGAGCAGGGCAGAGGGACCAAGGGCCAGTGAGAGACCTGCCTTCAGGCACAGTTGAAGGAAAGATGTCCTGTTTGAAGAACTATATCCTAAAAGTTCCTGATCCTGAATTGTAACCTGTTACTTCCCTAATATGGGGAGGGGGTGACAAAGAAGTGTATGACAGTCTCTTCTGCAAGCTGCTATATGTTTATAAGATATTGGGGATATGGGATGGAAGGGAGTTAAATGCTATATAGGGTTTTATTTAGTCCATAAAGTGGTATGTTTTGAGTCTATATAGGTTGTATAGCTGTTTTCACTTAACATATTGTATCACTTTTTTTTTTTAGTTATGCGTTTTCTTTAGATAAAGATATTAAATTGAAATAATTTCCTTCTCTATGACTCTAAATTAGGATATGAGTACCATGGATGCTGCTGAAAAGAAATGAATGATAAAGACTATTAAGTAGCTTAAAGCTTTTTATATTAAACTCTGGGAAAGTCCCTTATTAACCACAGAATTGCCAAGGCTGATCAGATAGGATCGTTAAATTTTTTGTTTTTTCATTTATGCGCTCTTAAGGAACCTAATAGTATCTTTCATTAAATTAGCTGGAATTGAATAGTTTGATTTGAAATATTTTTCACTAATGAACTTTTCTTTCTTAATAATGCTTTGTATTCCTTTTTCTTAGGAGTCTCAACAGTCCAATTTTGGCCCTGGAGAGCAAAGTAAGTGTTTCTGTTTCTTTTGGTTTTTAAATTAAGCTATTTTTGAGCATTCCAGTTCTCATGGTCACATCAGAGACAGCTTTAATCTTTTTTTTTTTTTTGCATGTTTTATTCACATTTTTATAATCTGATGATTAGTAATGGGTTGAGCTGAATCTTGGTATATTTTTTTAAAAAATGAAGACTTGTAAGGCATTGGAGATCAAAATTAGTTTTTTTTATTAAGTATTTGAATTAATGTTGAAAGTTAATGAATTCTGTTTGATGAGCACCTCATAAACCCAAGACCATTTACTCTTTTTCTGTGTCCTCATGAAAATGACTTGGTTCTATAATGGTAAAATTCCAGGGAAGAAGAGGTCATTGTAGTTGACCACGGCTCTTCCCTTCCTGTATCTATAAGCTCACTATTTGTTTTTCCTGGGTCTTTTGATTTGGAAAGAAAGGCTGCTGTCTGCTATATACTACCCCCTTCACTCCTACTCCCTTAATTTTTTAGCAGAACTTGGGGGGAAGATAACATTAGGGAATTCAAATGTAGTTCCAAGAGATAGTAGTTGTGCAGATTAATAATGATAAGGTTAGGAATTATTGCAAATGTCTAGGTTTCACCTTGTAGTTCTGTAATAAAACAGATGTTGTCTTTACCAAGAGCAATAACTTTTTTAATGATTAAAGTATATTTAAACTGGTGGTGAGCTATTTTGAGGGAGATGGAAATGTAGAATTTTTTGATCCTTGACTTGTGATCCTTACCTTAGTGATCTTTAGACGTGAAACTAAAAAAATTATCTCTTTAGTGTTGTTAATGAACTTTCCATAACTATATGTCCATTTCTTAGTTATGCATTGAAGGTGTATTTGCAGGAAAAAGGAACCTGACACTTGTTGATATCAGAAAATAGCTAACTATATAGGCCAGAAAGTTTGCAGTTTCTCCTCTCTTTTAAGAAAGTCTCATCCTTACTTCTACCCCTCCCCCCAAAGCTATTGGCAAATGAGATCATAAGCTATATAGTTTTTATTACCTTGTGTTTTTCAGTTAATGTGGTAGTTAAGGTTGTGTATCAACTTGTCTGGGCCATGGTTTTGAGTGCCTTGGCAGCTGAATGTAGTTATTACCCATGATGAGATTATAAGCACTGCCATGGTGGAATCTATTGTGAGCTCCCAATCAGTTAAGTGAAGTTGCCTTCAGGATGTGGCTTGCTTCTAGTATATACAGAGAAGCTTTGGGAAAGATCTCTAGTTTTTTGGCACATTTTGGATCTACATTTGGCTGTGTCTTCATCTCCAGTTCCTGGACTTGAACCAGTGGCCTGCCCTGTTGCCTGCTGATTTGGGATTATACCATTTTACTTGCCAGTCTTGGGTTTGTCAGCCTCAGCAGCCAGCAGCTGTGTGAGTTAGAAGAAGCCTCTAGTTTCATTCTAGGGGCCTGAAACAAAAGGCAGAGCTAAAAGCGCAAGGTCAAAGGATCTTCACCTAGCCCCTAGAGCCAGCACTCTGAATTCAGACTTCTAGCCTCCTAAACCATAAAAGAATAAATTCCTTTTGTTAGAACCGTCCATTTGTGGTAATTTTGTTATAGTAGCACTAGAGAACCAAGACGATTAATTTATTTTAGAGATGTTTCTATATTAAAATAAAGCCCTTGCTCATTTTATTTAACCTTAAAATTTTACTAAATTATATAAAAATCTGTTCCTGTCAAGTCTGTTCCAACTTATGGCAGCCCCATGTGTTACAGAGTGAAAATGGGTTCCATGGTGTTTTGACTGCAATCTTTGTGGAAGCAGATCACCAACCATTTATTTAACTAGTCCCCTAGTGGTAGACATTTAATTTGTTTCCAGTTTTGCTGTTACAGACCAAGCTGAAATAAATATCCGTGTGTGTGTGTGTATGTGTGTGCCTGTATGTATGTACATTCGTATATGTTCCTCCCAAAATACCTGTTGCAAATTCCTTCCATTGTAATTGCTAGGTAAGTAGATTTGTGCATTTTCAACATTGATAAAAGAGTTATTACCAGATTGCCTTCAAAAAAGATTGTATGAGTTTGTCTTACCAACAGCGAATGTGTACATGCCTGTTACCCCCCATATACTTAACAGCTTCTCATATTATCAGACTACTTTAAAGTGTTACCAATTTGATGATGAAAAATTATGTATCATTGTTTTAATGTTTCCTTGAGGGTAGATATTTTACAATCTAAATAATTACACTTTAGTTGCTTATTTCTGCATTCTCTTTTTCTAGAAAGATACAATCCTTCCTCTAAAACGTCAAATGGACACCAGTCTAAATCGTAAGTTTAGTGTTTGTTTGTTTTGCTTCAAGTCTATCTGTATCTGGATATTTTGAACAACGCATAGAAATATGTACCTAATCCTTTAAGGCAAGGTTAAGCAAACTTTTATATAAAGGACCAGAGAGTAAATGTTTTAGGCTTTGTTGGCCAGGTATTTCTGTCCTAATTACTCAGCTCTGCTGTTGTAGCATGAAAGTAGCCAGAGCCAGAGGGTATAGGTCTGTTCCAATCAAACTCTCTTTACAAAACAAGTGGAGGGCCAGATTTGGCTTTGGGCCATAGTTTACCTTCTCTAGGACACAGTTCTTTCTCATCTTTCAGAGTTGTCTCTGTGTTTGTTCATAGTTTGTGTTTAATAAAGAAGACAATGGAAAATACAGCAATTCTCTTAGCCCTCCATTTAACCTCTAAATGTAGAATATTGTTGTTGTTGTTGTTGTTATGTGCCGTCGAGTCGGCCCCAACTCATAGCGACCCCTCCTTCGGTTTCCGGGGCAGTATCACTACGGAAGTAGGATTGCCCAACCTTCCTTCCGAGGAGTGGCTGGTGGATTTGAACTGCCAGCCTTCTGGTTAGCAGACAAGTGCTTTAGCCACTATGCTACCAGAGCTCCTCAAATGTAGAATATTAACCTAGCTTTTACTGTATTTACATATTAAGCAACATAATCTGTACTGTCTTTATGTTTTCTTATTTTTATTTTGTAGACAGAACTAGAAAGGTATATATCATAATGCAATATGCTGATGCAAAAAAACAAACCAAACTCACTGCCATCGAGCCGGTCCCAACTCATAGCAACCCCTCGTTGGGTTTCTGAGGTGGTATCTGTACGGAAGTAGATTGCCCAGTCTTCCTTCCAAGGAATGGCTGGTGGGTGTGAACCGCCAGCCTTGTGGTTAGTAGTCAAATGCCTTAGGCACGATGCCATTTAAAACCAGCTTTCTGGGCAAACATGGCTATATGGGTGGATAGATGGATGGACAGGCTGAACTATTAGGTATGTCTATGCAGGGGGGAGTGTGCCCAAGACCATGTATAGGGTTGGCAGAAAATGTTTCTATGAGTGTATTTGTGTCTTCTGTAAGAATTCCCAGGTATATAGTAGAGCTGACAAGGGACAAGTTTGTAGTCACTTCTTGGTTATAGCCAGCTACCCAGAGCAAGCAAGTAGTTGAACCTGTGGGCTCGGGACCATAGTCACAGGGGACGTCAAGCTCAATTGGCATAACACACTACACAAAACACTGTTCCACCTCCTACTTTGGCAAGTAGTGACTGGGATCTTAAAAGCTTATAAGCAGCCATCTAGATGCACAACGATGGGTCTCTCCTCATCCAGGTCAAAGAAGAATGAAAAAAAAACAAAGATTCATGGAAACAATTAGTCCAAGTGACTGGTACACCATGTGATCCTCAGCCTATATGACTATGAGACCAGAAGAACTAGATGGTGCCCAGCTACCATTGTCAACCACTCAGAGGGTGATCTATATAGGAGATCCTAGATAGAGAGGGAGAACAATGTGGAACAAAAGTGAAAATCATTTGGAGAAAAAAAAAAAAAAGACGGGCCAGGTTTGCTGGTCTGATAGAGCCTGATGGAACCACTGAGGCTATGGCCCCTAGCTGCCCTTCAAGTCTGGAATTGAACCCACACCTGTGGCTTCCAGCCAAACAAAAGACAAGCATATGAGGTGAATGTTTGCCTGAGGTAGATACACTCCTTGGAGAGAACAATCATGGGAGAATAGAAGAGCTGTGTATGCACAGGGACATAGCTCAGGGGGCAGGAGTGCATGGAAGGAAGGACACAGGGAAGAGGAAAGTGTGGGGAGGAAGTGGGAGGGGAGCTGTTGGCATTGTGGTAAATTGTAGTCAATGTCATGAGACAAAGTGTATGTGAACTGCTATATGGAAAGTGAATTTGCTCTGTAAACTTCACCCAAATCACAATAAAATTTTTTTAAAAATTTAAAAAAAACAGCCTTCTGATTAGCAGTCAAATGCCTTAGGCACTATGCCACCAGAGCTCTTATGTGGATGCATTAGCTAATAATTAATTCCAGTTTAAAAAATGAATTCCTCAAATCACATGTTATTGTGGCCACAGTGCCAGCTGATAAGAAGTATCCCCCTCACTGCTAAAGAATTAAAATTATATGCAAAGAACTGATAGGTGCTTGCCACATATGTGCATATCACTTTGGTTGATGAAGAAACCAAAGCATGCAGGTCCTTGAGTACTCTGATGTAATCTTTGACATATTTACATGTTTAAACTGGTTCATTGAGCTATTATTTAAATATAAAGGCTGCAAGAATTCAGAGTAAGCACATTTCCTTACAGAAAATCAGATGAACTAAGCCCTTGCCCAAAAGAAAATTTCTTCTTCTCTAACCCACTAAATTGGGCCAATCTTAAAATACTTTTCATAATTCTGCAATCATCAGGTTACTTTATTTCAAAGTGGTCTTTTGTGTAATGCTCTGAACTTAAGGTCAGATTTACAAACTCGGGTTAAACTTTGAGGGGAGAGTAGAAGTAGTTATTAGAGTGAAAGAAGATTTCTTTTCCACTGATTGGAGACTGGCATGAAATCTTAAGAAAGGTAATAGAACTACTGATAATGAAAAATTAAAACATTTTCCTACTTGTGGTTTCCCCTAAGCTTTGTAATAATTTTTCCTTTCCTATAAAAAGGCAAGAAATGCTTTTGTGGTTCATTACTCAGATTTTAATTTTAATAGTTTTGGTTTTATGGCCTCAAGGAAAATTTAAATATTTAATTTCACTTTCAAAAAAATATTTCAGGAACTATCTGCTTATATGTAATATTTGTGTGTGTGTGTGTGTGTTTAAATTGATTTGAATTTTGATCAAGAAAGATTTGGAACCTTGAAATATTTTTATTCAAAGATGACCATTTCTGTTATATAGCCAAGTCTTTTACCCAAAATTGTTATTTCTGCAGAGGGCACTTGTCTTTCATAGTAAGGCATCTCTGGACTAGAGCTTTGACTTAGAATTTATGTTCTGACTTTTACAACCCAGTTGTTGACAGTGGTAGAAATCTTCCTTCATGTAACATTGGGGACAAAGAATTGCTTAATGCTTATGTTTTATCTTCCTTCTTTTTAGGAGTTATTTCTCTCTACTGGACTATTGAGTATGAGTATGGTACTTTGGCTCAGAGAGAGAATTAATGTGTATGGAATTAAAGAAAAGTTAGAAATAACAGAAGTGAATAAAAGTTTACAGAAGGTAGATTTTGTTTAGTTTGAAAAGAAAGATGAATATTTTGTGGAAAGGTTAGAACTTGTGAAATGGATAATTTCCTTCATTTAAAATTTCTACTATAAATATGAACCAACCCACATAGAATAAGACTTGTTTTTATTTTTGTTTTGTTTTGTTTTGTTTTACAACTAAATCTTTGGCTACCATAATGATTGCTCCTAGAATTCTTGGTAGCTGTTTATACTCTGGTATACCATTATGAACAGTTCAAAAAAATAATGACCCTTTCTGCCTTTTCCCTCTAGTATGTTAAAGGATGACTTAAAACTAAGCAGCAGTGAAGACAGTGATGGGGAACAGGTGTGTGTACTACTGTATGATTTTGCCAGTCTCGTACGGCATTTGTTCTCATTGTGTTTTATAAGAATTTATAACTACTACATTTATGATCTAGTTATTTAAAATAAGTTTCTTCCTATAAGCTTTCAGATACTGTAATGTTGCAGTTTTCTCCTTAAAAAAAAAAAAAAATCATAATTTTTCCTCATTGTTAAAAAAGTTGGCTTTTCCTTAATAACTTGGCCATAAATCAGAACATACTCATGAAGCATGCTATTGTTAACAAGGACTATTAACAAAGCTTGTCCTGGCAATTCATTTATTGTTTAGGTAAAAACAGTATGTCATAAGTATTGTTAAGTAAATATCAACACACACATTTGAGAAGCCAGTTTTTCCTATTAAGATTTTAGATATTGTTCACATTAAGCAGATAGCGTGCTATTTATTCATTCTCAGATTTCCCTCTCATGCTCTAATTTTAGGATTGTGATAAGACAATGCCAAGGAGTACACCAGGAAGGTAGGCTTCCTTTTATTCATTTATTTGTTTTTTAGAGGATTGGGGTCAGTCTGATAACATTGTACTGATATAATAAGTGGCTTATAAATAATGTTGATTATGGTAATGGTTCCACAACTCTGTAAATTGCCTAAAAATCATTTAGTTGTGCACTTAAAATGGGTGAATTCTATGATAGGTAAATTATAACTCAATAAAACTGTTTTTAAAGATAAGTATTACAGATGAAAGGAGCTTTAGTGGCACAAATGCTTAAGCACTCAGCTGCTAACCAAAAGGTTGGAGGTTCTAACCCACCAGCGGCTCCAAGGGAGAAAAGCCCTGGCATTTGCTTCTGTAAAGATGTCAGCCTAGGAAGCCCTATGGGGCATTTCTACTCTGTCTTACAGGGTTGCTGTGAGTCAGCACTGACTCGATGGCACACAACAACATTACAGCTGAGCAGCACATCAGAAACTTTTTCTAAGAAAGTATTTATTTCATTTATAATGAAGTTCTAGAGTTGTAGAATTTAATGGCTTAAGAAGGAGTAAACATTATAAATAAAGTTGATTGTTAATTTGGATGTTTTCCTGTTGTCATTATAAAAAAACTTTGGTGATTTTTATGTTTTATCTCTTTCAGTAACTCTGAACCTTCACACCATAACAGTGAAGGAGCTGATAACTCCAGGGACGATTCTAGCAGCCACAGTGGATCTGAAAGCAGCTCTGGATCCGACTCAGAGAGTGAAAGTAGTTCCAGTGACAGTGAGGCAAATGAGCCATCCCAGAGTGCATCTCCTGAGGTGAGAGGGAGACAGAGGGCCGCTTCCAAGGCCCCTGGTGACATCCAGTTAAGAGCTAAGTTAAATATAAAAGGTGAAGGAAAGAAGGTTATATATTCTGACACAAAGAAATTGAACTGTGTGTCTTGGAGGACACCCAGATACTTCAGTTTCCCTGTTATTTGAGCAAACATTTTCCTCTACATTAGGAACAGCTTGGGGTCATGATATAAGTCACTAAAATATTGGATTTCTTAAATTTGGGCTTTACTTTTTGTGTCTCAAGATGGTAGTTCATAGGTTTTGTTGTTGTTGTTGTGGATAAAAAGAGCTCTTCTATAGTATAATTCTACTATGTTGTCGTTATGTGCCGTCAAGTCATCTCTGACTCATAGCAACCCTCCTTGGGTTTCTGAGGTGCTATCACTACGTAAGTAGATTGCCCGATCTTCCTTCTGAGGAGTGGCTGGTGGGTTTGAACCGCCAACCCTCTGGTTAGCAGTCAGGTGCCTTAGGCACTATGCCACCAGAGCTTCCAGTTCTACTATAGCTTTAAGGAAGGTTGGGCAATCTACTTCCATAGTGATACTGCCTCGGAAACCCAAGGAGGGATCACTATGAGTCAGGTCTGACTCAACGGCATGTAACATAACACGTTATTTATTTACTTTCTAGAATTAAATTTATTAGTCATTTGTAATAATGCTTTTGAAGTGGGATTCTGACAAGAATATTTGCTGTTTAAAGGCCATCTATAAGGAGCTCTGGCAGCATAGTGGCTAAGACACTTGCCTGCTAACCAGACAGCTGGCAGTTCAAACCCACCAGCCACTCCTCGGAAGGAAGGTTGGGCAATCCTACTTCTGTAGTGATACTGCCTCAGAAACCCAAGGAGGGGTCGCTATGAGTCGGATTCGACTCGACGGCAGGGAGCTCTGGTAGCATAGTGGCTAAGACACTTGCCTGCTAACCAGACGGCTGGCAGTTCAAACCCACCAGCCACTCCTCAGAAGGAAGGTTGGGCCATCCTACTTCCGTAGTGATACTGCCTCAGAAACCCAAGGAGGGGTCGCTATGAGTCAAGTTGGACTCAACGGCACATAACAACAACAATAACATTTAAACTTATCTTCTCATTCAAGTGATTAGAAATAATAGTCAGTATTCAGCCCTTTGCTTTGGGTCAGTCAGAACCATTAACCCCTTCCTGTTAGCTAACGCTTTTGTGATATCAGACATTATATTTTTTTTCTTCTTCTTTGAGATTGTAGAAGAGGGAGAAAGCTTCATTATCAATAAAAGCATAATTCTTTCTGTTTTCAGCCTGAACCACCACCAACAAACAAATGGCAGCTTGATAATTGGTTGAATAAAGTGAATCCACATAAAGTATCACCAGCGTCTTCTGTGGACAGTAATATCCCATCATCTCAAGGCTATAAAAAGGAAGGCCGAGAACAGGGCACAGGGAATAGCTACACTGATCCAGGTGGACCTAAAGAAACAAGTTCTGCTACTCCCGGACGAGAGTCCAAAACTGTCCAAAAGGGATCAGAAAGTGGACGAGGGCGGCAGAAGTCTCCTGCACAGAGTGACAGTACAACACAGAGGAGAACTGTAGGCAAAAAACAACCCAAAAAGACTGAGAAGGCAGCTGCTGAAGAGCCCCGTGGAGGCCTGAAGATAGAAAGTGAAACCCCAGTTGACATGCCCACCAGCATGCCCTCAAGCAGACACAAGGCAGCCACCAAAGGCTCAAGGAAACCCAATATAAAGAAGGAGTCCAAATCTTCCCCTCGACCCACAGCAGAGAAAAAGAAATACAAGTCAACGAGTAAACCTTCCCAGAAATCCAGGGAAATCATAGAAACAGATACCTCATCCTCAGATTCGGATGAAAGCGAGAGCCTTCCTCCTTCCTCACAAACTCCTAAATACCCTGAGAGCAGTAGGACTCCTGTTAAGCCCTCCTCAGTGGAGGAAGAAGACAGCTTTTTCCGGCAACGAATGTTCTCTCCTATGGAAGAGAAGGAACTTCTTTCACCCCTCAGTGAGCCTGATGACAGGTATCCACTTATTGTGAAGATTGACCTGAATCTCTTGACTAGAATACCAGGAAAGCCTTACAAAGAAACAGAGCCGCCCAAGGGGGAAAAGAAAAATGTACCAGAAAAGCACACAAGAGAGGCTCAGAAACAAGCCTCAGAAAAGGTTTCTAACAAAGGCAAGAGGAAACACAAGGTTTGTAAAGGGTTTTTGTTGGTGATGGTGGTTTGTTTTTAAACCTCAGAATGTGAAATTCTACGAAAATACCATTAAGCAGCAGAATTACTAGGTGGGTCATGAGCTGTTAGGGAAAAAGAGTGAGTCCAAGGCTCAGTTGAGGCTACGTGTGGAACAGTCCCTTGAGGGGCATTATGGTTGTGCCTCAGCCTCCTTTGGTTAAGTAGGTCATTTTTAATCTATAAGAAACGAGCTAGCACATCTGTTCAGAGTATGTGCTGACCATTATAGAGGTAAGAGGAGGAGAGACTGCAAATGGGCCTTTGTGGCCTTCCTCAAATTTTAGTCTTTATATTCTTTAGTTGAGATCTATACTCTCCAGGTTGTTACAATCCCCATCGCTCTCTTATGTCTTAAACCCAGGCCAGTTTACACTTTTAAGATTACTGCCTAATCTGCTTTCCAGCTAAAAAATGAACCCACTGATTTTGACATGTTCCTAAGAATTTCACCAATTTACTGTTCATAGCTAGATCTCATCCTTAAACATTGCCAAGGTAATTTGGATTTAGAGACAAAACTTGGTACACGTTTAAGGTCAACTTTTTTTTTAAAAAAAGACCTAGGAAATGTGAAAACCTGTGATTGGAGGATGGTAGTCACATAATAGAAAGAGCTGAACAGCTATATATATCAACAGAGGCTCTTTGGAGAAAAACAGCTTGGTTGTTTTTGAACTTTATTGAGGAGTTTTAGAGGAAAGAAGATTTTAATAATCAGTGTTGAAGAATACATATTGATACATATTTGTGAGTATGACTGTAAACAGGTGAAAAAGTTTGAGACAGATGAACAGATGGATATGAGAGTGGCTTTTCTAGGGGAGCTTGAAACACAGACCTCAGTTGGTCTGAGAATCACATGTAGGGATAGGGAGAATAGAGCATTTTTGTAAAGGAAGTGATCCAGAGGTTTTTTTTCTCTTTTCTTAAAACTACAGTACTATGTGCAGGTGATATATATTCAGAAAAATTAAGGTAATAATTTCTAGAAAACTGAAATATATTCTTCTTCATACTATTAGCCAGTAAGTTTCCATTATTGTGGGAATGCTTCACTCAACTAGTAAGCTGTTTAGGGCTGCTGCCTCCTACAGCCCATGGCATCAGATTGCTAGACTTGGTTATGAAATTTATTTATAGAATTGCATAGAATAACAACTTGTATATAGTAAGCTCTGCTCTGTAGAAAAAGGGGGTATTTCCTATGAGACTTAATAAAAATGGTCCTTTTTTTGTTTTAGAAAAGTTTTGCATGTTCTCTATAACCTAGTCAAGGAAGCAGGGATCGTTCAGTCATAGAATTCTTGCATTCCATGTGGAAGACCCAGGTTCGATTCCCAGCTAATGCACCTCATGCTCAGCCACCATCCGCCTGTCAGAGAATGCTTGCATGTTTCTATGATCCTGAACAGGTTTCAGCAGCTCTTTCAGACTAAGACAGAAAAGGAAGAAGGGCCTAGGTCTGAAAATCAGCCAGTGAAAACGCTATGGATCTCACTGGTCCGATCCACAATAGATCGGGATGGTACAGCACCTGGCAGCGTTTCATTCATTGTGCACAGGGTTGCCATGAGTCAAGGGCCTATTCAGTGGCAGCTAACAACAAAAAGAAGTTATTCAAACATCATTAATACAGAAAGTGAAAGTCCTTTTTTACTTTTTTGTGTGAATTTTTTTACAGAATGTATATATAACTTGAAATAAAAAAATATCCCCTTCTAAAAGGGTTATATATCTCCTCCCTTCCCCTCATCAGTACCTATGTAACAATACCTATAGGTCAGATTTTTATTTTATAAAATACATAACACTAGGAAACCAGTGATAGGTTTTTGAAATTCATGGCAAGTATCAGAGACGGTTTCTAGAGATTGAAAGGAAACCCATTCAAGGCTAATGAGGGATGTAGCTGCCTTTCTATCATGTTTTCATGTGTCTGTCTTTAATCATTTTGTGTAAGAGAATAGGCTATTTTACTGTGACAGATTATTTGCAGTCTTGTATCCTGATATTAGAAATAATAATTAAATTTAGATTCATCAAGGAAAGTATATTGAAAATTATAGGTGGGCCCACAGCTTATGTTTTTCAGACAGAAAATTTTTCAAAATCATTAGGCTTCAAAATGTGTATGAATTATTGAACGGAAAACCAATTTACACTATAAACTTTTCACCCAAATCACAATTAAAAAGCTTAAAGAATAAAACTATTCGATTTGGCTATAATCAAAAAGAAAGATAATAAAAGTATTAGCAAGTATGTGAAGAAATTTGTACTTGCTGGCAGGAGCTCTGATGGTTAAAGCATCGGCCTGCTAACCCAAAGGTCAGAGGTTCAAACTCTCCAGCAACTCCACAGGAGAAAGATGAAGTGCATTCTGCTTCTGTGAAGATTTACAGCCTTGGAAACCTTATGGGGCAGTTCTGTTCTGCCCTTCAAGGTTGCTCTGAGTTGGAATCAACTCAGTGGTGGTGGTTTTTGTTTTGTTTTGTTTTTGGTATATTTGTTGGTGGGAATGTAAAATGGTATAGCTGATTTAGAAAAGAGTTTAACAGTTCCTCAAAAAGTTAAACAGAGAGTTACCATATAAGCCAACAATTTCACTCCTAGGTATATACCCAAGGAAAATGAGAACATACGTCCTTACAGAAACTTACACAAAAATGCTCACAGCCACATTGTTCATAATAGATAAAAAGTGAGAACAACACATATAGTTACCAGCTAATGAATGGATGAATAAAATGTGTTCTATCTATACTGTGAAATATTATTCAGCTATAAAAAGGAATGACATACTGATACATGCTATCACATATGAGCTTTTAAACATGCTTAATGAAAGAAGCCAGACACGAAAGATTACATATTATATAATTATTCCATTTATATGAAATATTCAGATAATAATAGAAAATAGACTGTCAGCGGTTGGGGAAAGGGGGAATGGAAAATGACTGCTAATAGGTACAGGGTTATTTTTTAAGGTAATGAAAATGTTCTAAAATCGATTGTGGTGATAGTTGCATCAACTCTGTGAATATACTAAAAATCATTGACTTGTGTATTTTAAAAGGGTGAGTTTTAAATTGAATTGTGACTACCAGTTAATGTTTAATTGTGAATTATATCTCAATTTAAATATAATAGACAACACTCCCTTCCCCAAAATCATTAGTCTAAAAAAATGCCATCTACAAGACATAGGAAATCTGTTCAGTATTTGGGCTCTATGTATCTAAAATGGGATACTTTTCAGTCTTAAAAGTTAATTTATTTAACATTGTCTAAGCGACAGTGTTCAAACTTCTTTCTGTACTTTAACAGGGATGAACTGTTTGGGAGTGACTAGTGCTGGAAACTGAAGTTGGATGAGTGAAAGTCAGACCTGGTAATTTCTGGCTATTTTCTGTTCTTCACTCAGAATGAAGATGACAACAGAGCCAGTGAAAGCAAGAAACCCAAAACAGAGGATAAGAATTCAGCAGGCCACAAGCCATCCAGCAGCAGAGAGTATGTCCCCAAACACACTGCATGCCAGTGTTGCTAATATATGGACATCATTGTGATTGGGTACTTTGTACCATGCATGCTCTTTGAGTGTTCCTTTAATAAGCATTTACACACACATGTGTACATACACCAAAATAGTGGGAGTTTTTGCTTTTAGTTCATAGGGCTGGAAAGATTTAAGATTCAGTCATTTCTTCATCTCTTCTTTTTCTTGATGGCATAAGGTGAGTATGGCATAAGAAATAAGAAAAAGAAGCTTTACCACTTTCTGGGTTAGATAGCAAACTTACCTATAACTAGCAATTGCTAGTAAATTATAGCAATTGAAACTAGTTGCTAACTTGAGAGCATTAATCTCTTCATTCACCATTTATCTACTTGTTCATTGAACAAATATTTATTGAATACTTAATGTGTGGTAGGTTGTGTTTTAGGCACTATGTATATAGCCATGGGGTAATGGGAGACAGGTAAGATGTCTACCCTCATGGAAGTTAGTTTTATTTTTACAGAAATCGTGTCCTAGTAATCAAACGGGAAAAATCAAATTTGTCTTGAAAAGAAGGCAAAGAGGAATGGGAAAAACCTACCACCCCTGTATTACTGTGTGAAGAAATGAGGGCATTTGTTTGGTTTGGCAGGTCATCTAAACAGAACGCTGCAAAAGAAAAGGATTTGTTGCCTTCTCCTGCTGGGCCTGTTCCTTCAAAAGATCCAAAAACAGAGCATGGCTCTCGGAAGAGGACTATTAGTCAGTCTTCCTCCTTAAAGTCAAGTAATAATAGCAACAAGGAGAATAGTGGCAGCAGCAAAAACAGTTCCTCCACATCAAAACAGAAGAAGACTGACGGGAAGACTTCCAGTAGCTCCAAGGAAGTTAAGGTAAGTGTTGACGGGGGGAAAGGAGCCACTGAGCCTTCTGAGAATCACTTTGATTGCCATGTGACTTCTCCAGGGTGACACTCTGTGCTTTCAAATTTTGCAGATGTCTCATTAAATTTATAGGCCTGTGCACTGTCTCAAAATGTCACCATCTGGATGATAAACTTGCAAAGTGATCTGAGACCATTAAAGCAATCAAGTCAGTTGCCCACATACGTATTAATTAAGATGTTGTTGTTGTTGGGTGCCACTGAGTCGGCTCTGGCTATGCTCTGACTCATACCAAGCCTCTGTACAACAGAACGAAATACTGCGCAGTCCTCTGCATCGTCACAGTTCCTGCTGTGTTTGACCCATCGTTGCAGCCTCTGTGTCAGTCCATCTTGTTGAGGGTCTTCCCCTTTATTCACTGACCCTCTGCCAAGCATGATCTCCTTCTTTAGGGACTGATCTCTTCTGACAGCGTGTCTAAAGTACATGAGACAAAGTCTGGCCGTTCTGGCTTCTAAGGAGCATTCTGACTGCGCTTATTCAAGGGCAGATTTGTTCATTGTTCTGGCAGTCCTTGGCATTTTCAGTATTTTTCACCAGCACCACAGTTCAAAGGCATCAGCTCTTCTTAGGTCTTCCTTATTCATTGTCCAGCTTTCACATGCAGGTAAGGCTGTTGAAAATACCATGGATTAGGTTAGGCACACCTTAGTCTCCAAAGTGACATCTTTGATCCTTAACTCTTTTCTCTTCCTGTTCTGGAATTCCAATGACACGTAAGTTATTCCTTTTGATGGTATCCGACATGAACCTTAGGCTTTCTTCATTTTGTTTTGATTTTTT